TGGGCAACTGTATTCCTAGCTACTCAGGAGGCTGAGATAGGAAAATTGCTTGAACCTGGGAGGCGGAGGTTGCAGTAAGCCAAGATGACGCCACTGCTCTCCAGCCTGGGCAACAGAGTGAGATGCTGTCTCTAAATAAATAAATAAATAAATAAATAAATAAATAATCAATAAAAAATTTTGATGTTCTTTGTTTCATAGGAGTGAGAGTTAAAGTCATACTAATGACAAGAGTATCTTTGCTTCATGTCAGCCCAGACTAGGATGGCTGCACAAGTTTGTCCTGGTGCCTTGCTTCTTAAGTAGACAGGCAAGGAGACTGGCTTTTGCTGTCCCAGGGTCTGAGCTGGAGTCTGGGCACTTATCCTGGGGACCCAAGCCATTGCCTCCTCCTTCGGCGCCAGCAGTAACTGAGCAAAGTATCTCTCATGAGCATCAGGCTGGAATTGAATTCTCAAGACAAATAAAACGATGGGAGAGAGAAAGAGAGACCCAAGGATGATGGAACCCGTTTTTTTTCTCTGGGGGAGGGTAACACTTTCAGAGGGAGAGACTTTGGAACCAGACTGGAGAGATGAAAAGGGAAGGGGCTTTAATAAAAGCAAGAGGGGGTTGAGGAGAGAGAAAGAGAGGTGGGAAGGGAGTTGGGTCCATATGGGACAAGCTTCTTTTGAATGACTAAGTCTGTAAGTGGCAGCTGACGCTGAATCCCGTCTGTGCAGCATTTTTAAAAAACGGAATTATTGATGGGAAAGTTCTCAAGAACAAGGAAATTTTTTTTTTTTTTTTTGCTACAGATCGTTTTTCTTTTATTTCAAGCCCAGTTTAAAAAAAATGTTTTTTGCAGAATTTTGTATTTTGCTAATATGAAAGCATAAAACAGCAACAGAGCAATCATGTCTACAGCAAGGGATGCATCCAGGTAAGGCTGACATTCAGAATGGCCACTCACATCATTGTGATGTTTTGTTCATGTTTCTAAACAATGTACTTAGAAATCATCACCATTTCTTATTTTTCATTTTCATATTAATTTCCTGATGTTCACACATTAGTGATCCCAAATGAGGTGTGATTCTTCAGTCTCTACTTACAAGAGGGGAGGAAGTAGCAGTGTAAGTTGGAGGGAGTTTTGACTCAACTCATGGCTTGTTCAAGAATAAACTACTCTTTGCTTGTTTGCTTTTTTTTCTTTTTTTGAGATGGAGTCTTGCTCTGTCACCCCGGCTGGAGTGCAGTGGCGCAATCTCAGCTCACTGTAACCTCCGCCTCCCGGGTTTAAGCGATTCTCCTGCCTCAGTCTCCTGAGTAGCTGGGATTACAGGCACACACCACCATGCCTAGCTGATTTTTTGTAGTTTTAGTAGAGATGGGGTTTCACCAACTTGGCCAGGCTGGTCTCAAACTCCTGACCTCAGGTGATCCACTCACCTCAGCCTCCCAAAGTTCTGGGATTACAGGCGTGAGCCACCATGCCTGGCCGCTATTTATTTATTTATTTATTTATTTATTTATTTTTAAGAGAGAGGGTCTTGTTCTGTTGGAGTGCAATGGAATGATCACAGCTCACTGCAACCTCAGACTCCTGGGCTCTAGGGATCCTCTTACCTCAATCTCCCGAGTAGCTAGGACTATAGGCATGTACCACCATGCCTGGTTAATTGTAATTTTTAATATTTTGTAAAGATGGGGCCTCACTATGTTGCCCAGGCTGGTCTTGAACTCCTGGCCTCAAGCCATTCTCCTGCCTCAGTCTCCCAAGGCATTGGGATTATAGGTATGAGCCACTGCGCCCAGCTACTGGTTGCTTTGAAGGCTACTGAATGCAATGTACACTTTTAAATAAACATCTTTGTTTAAAAAATGAAATTAGTTGCTAACAATAATAATTTTTCATAATTAAAAATCAAGACATTGAATTTTGGAAGATGTGGGCTAAGATGCAACAATTGAGTAGAGGAGAGTAATATTGTCTTTGTGTGGCTGGGCTTGGTGGCTCACACCTGTAATTCCAGCACTTTGGGAGGCCGAGGTGGGTGGATCACCTGAGGTCAGGAGTTCGAGACCAGCCTGGCCGACATGGTGAAACCCCGTCTCTACTAAAAATACAAAAAATTAGCTGGACGTAGTGGCAAATGCCTGTAATTCCAGCTACTAGGGAGGTTGAAGCAGGAGAATCTCTTGAACCCGGGAGGTGGAGGTTGCAGTGAGCTGAGATCGTGCCTTTGTACTCCAGCCTGGGCAACAGGAGCGAAACTCCGTCTCAAACAAACAAACAAACAAAAAATTGGCTTTGCACTGTACATGGACATCCATTCTCCAGCTTGTTACAGTCCACGCCTGGCCCATTTGAGCCACTTTTGTTTCCTGGGGTCAGGGGTCATCTGTAGGCATATGAGTCTGTGGTTACTGAAGTCCATCTGCTGTAGGCTGAATAATGGCCCCTCAAAAATATCCAAGTACTAATCCGTGGAACCTGTGAATGTTACCTTAAATGGCAAAAGATTTTTGCAAATGTTGGCCAGGTGTGGTGGCTCATGCCTGTAATCCCAGCAATTTGAGAGACCGAGGCAGGCGGGTCACTTGAGGTCAAGAGTTCAAGACCAGCCTGGCCAACATGACGAAACCCCGTCTCTAGTAAAAATACAAAAAAATTAGCTGGGCGTGGTGGTGGGCACGGAGTAATCCCATCTACTCCGGAGGGTGAGGCATGAGAATTGCTTGAACCCGGGTGGCGGAGATTGCAGTGAGCTGGGATCGTGCCACTGTACTCCAGAGCAAGACTCTGTCTCAATTTAAAAAAAAAAAAAAAGTTTTTTGCCAATGTCACTAAATGAAGGATCTTGAGATGGGGAGGTTATCCTGGATTGCCAGGTGGGCCCTTCGTAATCATAAGTATCCTTCTAAGAGGGAGGCAGGCTGGGCATGGTGGCTCATGCCTGAAATCCCAGCAACTCAGCAGGCTGAGGTGAGACGATTGCTTGAGGCCAGGAGTCCAAGACCAGCCTGGACAACATAGCAAGACCCTGTCTCTACAAAAAAAATTTTAAAAATTAGCAAGGCATGGTGGCATGGAAATCCTGGAAATCCAGGACATTGTAAACCCCTCCCTGCTCTCCCAAGGGCTGGGAATATGACTCCCTTAGGCCAATCAGATGGTTCTCCAGGAGAGTGGTTCTCAAACTGGGTTACACATCAGAATCACAGGGAGGGATTGTTAAAAACACAAATTGCTGGAGTCGGACCCCTAGCCTTTCCAAGTTAGTGGTCTGAGCTGAGAATTTGCATTCCAAACAAGCTCCCAGGTATTGCTGGTTCAGGGGCCACACTCTGAGAACCTCTGCTCTGGGAATTCGAATCCTAGGAAATGGAAGACAGGCAGCGATCCCATCCTACAGGATGGTTCACAGTTTCCATGATGAAATCCCTGAATCCGATCTGGTTCTTGGCATTCTAAGGGTCTGGTTATTCCTCTTTTCGTTTAACTTGGTGAGCCATCCTCTGAGTTTAATTCCTTTTTTCTTAAGGTAGCAGGAGTTGCTATCTGTTCCTTGCAGACAAAGAACTTTAACAGATTGAGCTTGCAAAGTATACCCTCAATGTGGTAAAAGGTGGAGTCCCGTGGAATACAAGACTTACAGAGCACAGGTTAGATGCAATCTTTATCTGCCAAGACTGTATTAATATGGATCATAGACATCATTTATTGAATGCCTACATTATGTTTTATGGATGCTAAGAGTTTTACAGGCATTTTATCAGCCTTACAGGTATTTTGAAAGAAAGATATTTCTATCCTTACTTTTCATTTGAGGAAATGGAGGTCCAGGAATTTACTACTGGAAAGATATAAAATCAACATAAATATAGTCAGGGAATGGTAGGCAATACTAAAAAAAAGACAATATTTTCCTTCCTCTTAGCATGCTTCTCTCTCTCTTTCATTTTCTCTGGGTGACTAATGGTCCCATTAGCCTGCCTGCACTGTCCCTGTAAAAATTCTTTCAAAGGGGCAACAGGAAACATTGATCTTGACCAGCATAATTTATTTTTTTTTTAATTTTTTTTTTTTTGAGACGGAGTCTCTCTCTGTCGCCTAGGCTGGAGTGCAGTGGCCGGATCTCAGCTCACTGCAAGCTCCGTCTCCTGGGTTTACGCCATTCTCCTACCTCAGCCTCCCGAGCAGCTGGGACTACAGGCGCCTGCCACCTCGCCTGGCTAGTTTTTTGTATTTTTTAGTAGAGACGGGGTTTCACCGGGTTAGCCAGGATGGTCTCGATCTCCTGACCTCGTGATCCGCCCGCCTCGGCCTCCCAAAGTGCTGGGATTACAGACTTGAGCCACCGCGCCCGGCCAGCATAATTTAGTGTTTAAAATTTTCCAGTTTGAGGCTGGGCTTGGGGGCTTATGCCTGTAATCCTCTGAGGTAGGAGGATTGCTTGAGGCCAGGAGTTCAAGACCAACCAGATGACCAACTTCCTCTCTACTAAAAACTTAAAAATTAGTCTGAGACAGTGGCATGCTTCTATAGTTCCAGCTACTTGGGAGGCTGAGGCAGGAGGATCACTTGAGCCCAGGAGTTCGAGGCTGCGGTAAGCTACGATCATGCCACTGCACTCCAGCCTGGGTGACAGAGTGAGACCCCATTTTTTAAAAAAAAATTCCAGTTTGTTTTCTGTTTTAAGTGTTAGATGGTCTATAACATCTAGAGATACCAGAAAAATGATATTTGGCTTTTGACTTGCAAGTAGATACTCAAAGCAAGTTTGACCCATGAATTTCACATGGAAGGTATGTGGGATGAATGGAATGCTAGCAGAATGGGGAAAAATTAGCTCATTTTTATTTTCATTACCAATAATACTTATTGTCAGCAGCCATTGATGAGCAGCAGCCATGGTTCTGTGGTCTCCCATGTCTGTGGGTCTCAATGAAGGCCACAAGATGAGGACCAAGAATGTCAGCAAGCACGGCACCCCACCGCAGCACAGAAAGTTCGTGTGGGACATAATGTGAGAGGTGTGTGGCTTTGTTCCATATAAGTGATGCACCTTGGAACTGTTTAAGGTCTCCAAGAAAAAGTGGACTCTCAAGTTCATTAAGAAGAGAGTGGGGACACACATCTGCACCATAAGAAGTGAGAGGGGCTGGGCAATGTCTTGACCTCCAGGAAGTGAATGGCTGCCAAGAAGAACTGAGACTTCTTCCCCTTCTGTGTATAATAAAACCTTTACAGAAAAAAAAAAGAGAGAGAGAGAATGCTTATTTGCATTGGATGCTTATGTTCCATCTTGCATCACTTGACTGATCTTTTACCTTAGTCGTTGCTGTAGCAGCTGGCTTTGCACACGTGTAACCTGACGGTCGTTCCTGTTAGCTGCACAGAGTACCTCCTGCTTTTGCCCCAGAGCATCTCTGCTGCCTTGGTATGGAACATCCATGATAATCCATTCACTTATACACAATCTAGAAGTGGGAGGTTGTTAAAGCTCCTGGCTTAGCCTTTCTCTAGCAGGGGATGAGAGTCACTGGACAAATGCTTCCCTCTTCTGGTTCTTATCTCTTGGGAAGACAATTCTGAGCTGTGTTCTAAGGCTCCTTAGAAGGTGCTAGTGGAATGAGCCTAAATTGCCATGGTAGGACAACTCAAAGATGCTCTTTCTTTTTTTGTTGTTTTTTTGAGACAGTCTCACACTGTAGCCCAGGCTGGAGTGCAGTGGTGCGATCTCAGCTCACTGCAACCTCCACCTCCCAGGTTCAAGCAATTCTCCTACCTCAGCACCCCAACTAGCTGTGATTACAGGCGCCTGCCACCATGTCCCACTAATTTTTGTATTTTTAGTAGAGACAGGGTTTCACCA